ATGTTGGGCTCTATAGACTTATTATCTTTATGTGAGTAAACCTTGTGGCATTTCTTACTGGTTTTCTCTCCCCTACCTTTGGCACCTCTATAACGGTGGAAGGTGGAAGACTCAATAGGAGGAACAGACTCAATAGAAGACCAAGGGAAGGTGGTGGTATAGGTTCAGGAATGTGTTCCATAGGCTGAAATTCACTCGAGTGCTCCCCCTGAATTGAAGACGCGGAAAAATAGGGAACATCTTCAGAAAAAGTGACATCACGACTGACATACAGACGTTTAGAGACCGGATCATAGCACTTATAACCCTTTTGGTGGGAGGAATACCCTAAGAAAATGCACTTAACAGCCCTAGGATCAAATTTGGAAGGAGTTTGATGAAGATGGACAAAGACAGAACAACCGAAGACACGCAACGGAAGGTAATGATCAAGATGAGTAACAGGGTGAGTTTCACAGAGTTTGTCCAATGGGGAGACAAAGGAAAGGACATGACTGGGGATACGATTGATTAAGTGGGTTGCGGTGAGGAGTGCATCGCCCCAAAAATATTTAGGCACATTACACGTATATAGAAGTGCTCTAGTGACCTCTAAGAGATGTCTATTCTTACGTTCAGCCACCCCATTTTGTTGTGGACTATGAGGACAGGAGCTATTATGAACAATTCCGTTGTTTGTGAGAAAAGTGGCCAAATGGTTATTAAAGTACTCGGTGCCATTGTCACTAAATAACACTTGAATTGTGGTGTTGAATTGATTTTTGATGAGGTTAAAAAATTCTATGAATACAGTGGGAACGTCAGATTTTTCCTTAAGTAAGTAGACCCAAGACATACGTGTATGATCATCGATAAACGTAACAAACCATTTAGCATGGGAACGATTACGAAACACGAGACGAACCCCAAACATCGCTATGAATTATAGAAAAGGGACGAGTGGTTTTATATTGAGGTGAAAGGAAAGGAATACGGTGGTGTTTGGCAAGTTCACAAGAGTCACAATGGGCAATAGAATTTTTATTAATAGTAAATGAGGAAACAATCGTTGCAAATAAGAAAAACTAGGATGACCCATCCTTTTATGCCATAACAGAATATTATTATTGTCAGGGTTGGAGACAAAACCATTTGTGCGACTACACAAGGCCCTCACGGTAGAGACGTTAAGATAATAGAGACCATCATGCTCCTTAGCTGTGCCAATCATCTTCCCCGATGAGAGATCCTGAAAAATACAGAAAGTAGGGAAAAAATAAGCACCACAGTTTGCATTTTTAGTTAACTTGCTAATAGAAAGTAGATTGCAGGCTAGGTGTGGAACATGTAACACGGAGTCAAGGCGAAGAGAATCAGAGATATTAATCGTTCCTTTTCCCACAATAGTAGACCCAGTACCAGTAGCAGTGGTAATTTTCTCGTTACCGGCACAAGGAAGGTAGGTAATAAACATATCAGCATCAGATGTCATGTGATCAGTAGCGCCGGTGTCAACAATCCATTTGTTGGATGGGAACACGGTATGAAGAGCGAATGGGGCGTTACCTGTAGTAGCTGCGGGAAGCAGAAGCCGTACGAGGCTGTTGTTGTGTTTGAAGACCCTTAAGCGCAGTAGTAACCAACTGGTGTAACTGTTCAGTGGTCAAAGGAGAGGAATCAGGATCTTGCGATGCTTGGTAGCCTCGCGACTTTCCCTTTCGAGGTTTCCAGTCTGCTGGTTTACCATGTATATCCCAACAACGGTCACGTGTGTGGCCGGGCTTTTTACAATGGTCACAATAAACCTTAGCTTTATTAGATGAAGATGATGACAAAGGTGCACCCTTGCTGACCAGAACAGAGGAGTCAGAAACAGAGGATGGTGGAGCAGATAGCATCACTTGTCGTCGAGATGCTTCTCGTCACACCTCCGAGAATGCTTCACGAGTGGTTGGTAGAGTAGATCTACTAAGAATATGGCTACGAATATTATCAAACTCAAAATTAAGTCCAGCAAGGAATTGAAAGACTCGTTCTTTCTCAACATTCTGCTTATACCGTGCGCGCATCAACAGCAGATGACCATTCTTCGCACGAAATTGAATCCAATTCCTGCCACAGAGCAACGAGCTCCAGCCAATAGTCGGTGATGGAACGGGTACCTTGTTTTAATTGCCAAATACGAGTTTTAATCTCATAAAGTTGAGATAAGTCTTCACCGTCTGAGTATGAGTCTCGCACAGCGTCCCAAATCGCCTTTGCTGAGGGAAGATACATAAAGCTGCGCTTAAGCTGAGGAGTCATGGCGTTGATTAACTATGATGAAACTAACGCGTTCTTGGTCAGCCACTGCTGCATTGCTGGAGACGCTGGGTCACTCGGCTCCTTGACTCACCGGTAAGAAGACCCAGCTTACCACGTCCACTAACGGCCAATTTCATTGCCTGGGCCCACTCCCTATAGTTGGCTCTAGTTAGCTTCTTGGAGACAATGGTGACAGAGGACGATCCATCGGTGCTGGAGGTCGACTCGAGAGGACCGCCAGTTTGGGTTGTAACCGTCGGGGAGCCACCAAGAGAGGGGTCCATGTTGACCGAATCTCCCTTGGGGTTCGACCCGACTCGAGCTGCCTCCGAAGTGGAGGACGTTGACTATGACAATGATGGACTGGATGATGGAGGAACGTCCGCCGGCTCTGGTACCATGAAGAACTGGTAAACTTTGAATAATTCGTATCTATTATTCAGTTACGCATTGTACAAATATATATACACCGAAGGTCAAACCGAAAGATTACAAGGATAGGATTACAAGATATATTAGGAGAGATATTTGGAATAATTTAAATTAAAACCGATCCCTCCTAATCCGCCTAATATCTCGGTGATCTAGGAATATCTCTCTATTAACCACAGTATTAAGAAAGATGATTATGATATCTTAGGAAAAACGTGTACGTTGTCACATTTCTTAATTAACTAACTTACCCAACTTCCTTAATCTAATCAAATTAGTTAAATAGGTCTTATATTAAGGACCGGAGGAGTATTAGAATAGATAAATATAAATTACTTCAAGTTAAAAAGATAAATATAATAAATAAATGAATCAATTTTTTTAGTCAAGGAAATAGATCTTATATTCAGATAAAAACTTCTACACATAGAAATGAGTGCGTCTATTATAGGATTTGGTCATTTTGGGACTCTAGTGCACATTTACCTTTAATACTCATATTCATTTTGCGACTCTTGTGAAATTTTTAATGATTATACTTTGTCTTTAATGCTTCATATTATAGTAATTATCCTATATAACAGTGTGGTGGGTATGTATTAATTGGGAAACAATAAACTTGCAAACTGGCAACATGGTACAGGTGCTCACGGGCTGATGAACCTGATTTTTCACAAAATCAGAAAGTAGGGTGTAACATCCCAAATTTTATTTGGATTTATAAGTAGTTATTTATAGAAAGTTTAGATTAAATCTTTGATCATGCAAATAAAAAATATGTAAAATAATAAATTTAAGAAAATGAGATATTTAAAAGAGAATCATTAAAATAAAACAAAATTGTAAATAAGTGCATAGGTATTTAAAAATAAAAGTAGAAAAATTGGTGATGGATGATGATGATCATAATAATAATAATAATATGAAATTGATTGAAATTCAAATTTCAAATATGTTATATGAATGTTAATAAAAAAAATATATATACCTATATTTATATATAAACAAAAGAATTGAGTTTAACATTAAAAAAATTATATTGATTGATTCTGGTATATTTCATATAAATCGGTTATATGTTTAGGTTTAATGGGATTTGAGATAATAATAACAATAAGATAAATCAATCAATTAATTAAATGAAGATTTATTAACTTTAAAGATATAGTAACTTGACCCTACTTCCTACCCACTCATTCTTTATTCTTTAGTTGTTACTTAGTTTCTTTCAGCTTTTGTACTACCGTGAATTTGTAGCTTTTCAGAAATGCGTTACTCCTTCTTCTACTCTAAACATTCCATCTTTATAAATCAAAATACATTCAAGGTAAACTTTTTCCATTATTGTTTCTTTTCCTTTTTTTATTACCTTTCTCATAATTCCTCTTTACCTCATTCCTTTCGTCCTTTTCCCCTTAGTTCACCGTAGGTCTCTTATCATTATCTCCAAGACATACATATGTTTATTAAAGTGTGTACCTACTTTTCTTTTATTTATTTTTTCTTTTTTTTCGTTTCTCTCCTTCATCACATCTGACAACTACTATTCATGAATATATATACATATACATTAATAGGAAAAGGTATGAGACTGATTTGACACTATTGACTATTGTGTAATATTTAATGTTTTTCCCCCCTTCATTTAGCCCTCTTTCTTCCCTCACTCTCTTTCTTGTATCACGTGTTTTTGTTTCAGATTTTGCCTCTTCGTACGACTATGCATATATATATATATATATATGCTTGGTAGAAATATCCACAAGTGTATATGCCTCTATATATATCATCACCCTTTATTTTGTTTTTGGTGTTCCTCCCCTCTAATAATAGGTGTGTATACTTATATATATGTATAGGTGTTATGCCTTACTTATATAATACCTTAGCATTCATTTAGAACCATTTCCAGACCACTTTGGATGGTCCTAAGCTTAAAAATTTCAATTTGGACGTTAATTTTCAGAAAATTACTGTTCACTGTCCAGTTTTCAGATTATAGGTCCAACTTTGAAAAATCATAACTAATTCTAGAAAAATCGTATGGAGGTGTTCCAAAATTCTACGGAAAGCTATTTCAATGCTCTTTAAGGGAAAAATACTCAATTGGACTTATTCTTGTCCAATTCGTACAGTTTATTAGATTAAGATTACTATTTGTTTGGTAAAATCTGGACTCTCCAGATTCTGCGCCTTAACTTTGAAAATTCATATCTTTTCGTATACACATCCAAATGAGGTGATCTATCTCTCATTTTAAAGCTTGGGATGTGTACTATAAGTCTACCAAATCTTGTGACTTAAATCATTCATTTGATAGGTCAAACTGAAGCTCAAAACTAACTGCTTCAGGACCTACGTTTTATCCTTTAACATCTCTTTGCTTTAATTCTTTTTATTTCTTTGGCATGCCTAAGATGGGCTTACTTTTTCCCATTCATGCTTATGCATTCCTATACATGCCATAAGCTTTATAATTAAATACATGGCATTCACAACATAATTATAACATAGGAGAATTATACATTAAATATTAGTATCAATCATTAGCATCAATAATTCTCCACTTCTTCTCCTTGCTTCTCATGCCCTTAGTGCCCATCATTGATTTGACCTAAATGGTTGGTTAGGGAAGGGGTGAGATTCGGGGGAATCTCAATAGCAAACATTACCACATACATGCACAAGATGGATGCTAGTGTATGGTATGTAGTTTTTCATAAACTTAAGTTAACTAGTGACATGCCATCATGCTTTATGCTTGGTATAAAAATGCATGGCCATGGGAACATATTAAAAATAGCATTTCCAGCAACAATCATCATGTCATAACATCATTCAAACAACAAATACAAACAACACATAAGCATACCATGTCAAGCACATAAAGGGTAAGTTCACTACCTTGCACCTCAAGCTTTCCTCTTACTTTTCCTTTGACTCCCTTGACTTTCCAACCATGTGGGCATTCGGTCAATATCACTAAACATCCTCTTGGATGTTCCAAAGGTCCTAAACATAACCATAATGATGACACAATCCATTAGATTACATAAAGTTCAAGACTAGCTTTCTTGAACCTCAACCCCTTTCTCTTAGTCTTAGGGTTTTCTTTCTAACTTTTCTAATATAAATCTTATCATTTTACATCCTTATGATCTATTTCCTATCAATTAGGACCACTTTAGATGGCTTTAGATTCAAGAATATCAAATCTGGAAATCTTGGTTCGCGGGTACTGTTCACGCAGAATCTCCAGAATTTTTGCTCAACTTTAAAAATTCATAATTAAATCTATAAAAATCCAAATTGAGTGATTCCAAGTCTCAATGAAATATTATTAAGTTAAATTTAAAGTAAAAATAGTTTCAGGAACCAATTCTACGCTGAACAGTACCAGAATTGTACGGAATTTGACACCCTTCCAAAAGCTTAACACTGTTTCCAGATTTCAAACCTAACTTTGAAAAATCACCATAAATCGTACACATATCCAAATGAAGTGTTCTACCCATGGATTTAAAGCTCACAAGTGTACTTTAAGCATGCCAAATTTCAGAACTAGATATGAATAGTAACTAATTCAAAAAGTCATCAAATCAGCACGTAATTCTTTCAATTTTCACATAGATCCACTTGGATCTACCATACTTTGAGGTGTTCTAGCAAGATCTAACAACCAAACTCCCTTCCCCACTCATCAACCATTTTGACCAGCCATCAAAGGGAGAGAAGACAGATTTTTCAACCTTAAAAGAGAAGGAAAACAAGACAAGAACACATCTAGAACCAAGATCTCACCTTGAATCCTTGATTGATGACCAAAGTTGATAGCTTTTCCTTGGTTCTCCTTCAAAACCCTCTCTTTTCCCTCTTCCTCTCACTTGGACGAAATTCCATCAGCAATTAAGGGGAGAAGAAGCTCATTAATGTGTACAAAATATCCCACCAATCATCATTAATGTTATGCCAAGTGTCATTAGCCTACTTAATCTTAATCCCCTCTCTTAATTAACTTAAATCATAATGTAATTAAATTCCAAAGTCAAGATCCTCTCCATTGGTAGCTTGACACTTGGAAAGCTTTAATTACCATCCATTAAAGGCTTGACAAGTGGCGACTTGTGACCCAAGTAAAGTGCAAGACTCTGATTAATACTTTATCGGTGCACTTTTACTCCGGGTTTAACTTCTTTTCTATAATTACAGTGCTCTGGCCTCTGTAATTATTTTCTATCAAATCCATAAATTCTCTTTAATTCTAGAGAGTATCTATGAATTTTCTTAGCCCATAACACTTCCTTTAACCTTGCATAAAATTCATTTACTAAAATACCCTTTTATCGGCAAAACCGGCTCTTTAATTTCTTAAAGCCACTCTACTGGCCTTTTGGTTGCGGGACTAATTTTATAAATTAGTACAACCTTTCAACCATTTAACCTCATTTTTGTATACATTTTTGAGGTCTCTTGCTATTTCAAATAATTACCTCAAACGGTATACTTTTTACCGGTCACAACCTCATAAATTCCATTTAAGCTGCCTCAGGGGTATTTTCATCTTTTCTCTTCATAGAAGAGTCTTAGAATATTATTTTCCATTTTCTAGGATTTTTCTTAGAATTTTCTGTACCCTCTTCCATTTTTATATCTGTTGGTCATAACTTTCGGAATTTACAGTTTAGTCCCTGTTTGGACTTAACTTCATTAATCCTCTCTTTGAGGTTTCTAACTTAACCTTTGGCCTGTGTCTAGTCTCTTTTCTCTCTCTCTGGGCCTTTGAGACTTTACTGGAGCCTCTAACTTTATTACACTTTAGCCCCTTAAAACTTTTACTTTGCAGTTTAGTCCCTGAAACTACTTTGACTTCCTTTCTCATTTTTGGGACTTCTGCTAAAAAAGGGTTTGATAGCCTATCTAATTCAGGCTATTACTGGTACTTCTAGGCCCAAAACTTTGGATGTTACAATAGGCATATATATATGTGTGTGTGTGTATATATATAAGACTTTCGGTGATATATATATATATATATATATATAGAAATTTACGAATGGTTAGTGTTGAAAGATGGGATAAAGGCTAAATATATATTCTTCAACTTTATATAAAGTAAGGACTTCATATAAGTTATTATGAAATGTTAACATTTTAATAGTACTTATGAAAATTTAATAGAAGAAATTAATAATATGTGTTGTGGGCTCTAGGATAACTATGAAGTTTTAGGGTAACTTTTATGTAATTTAAATAAGTATAGGATATAATTTTTAGTCTCAAATTGTAAATTAATATTTTATTATGTTGACTTTGTAGACTCTCTTCGAGAGCCTTTTTTATTAGAATTTTTATTGTGATTGTTAGAGAGCTGGAAGAAACCAGCTAACTTGGAGTTTTTTTTCATGTGAGTGCAATATTTATCTATCATGATTAAATTTGTCATGTGGGTGCAATATTTATCTATCATGATTAAATTTGTACTAACTCTATTGGCCTAATTGATACCAATAAATAAAAAAGACTGAAAAGGTGAAGGGATATGATAGTATTATCTTTTATGGTATTTAAATTCTCTTTCAAGCATGAATACATTTTGGTTGTTTTGTGAAAATTTATGGTGATTTGTTTTCTTTCAAGCATGCTTGCATATGATGGATTTGTTACATATTCATGAAATGCATAGGGGGTTGGACTTGGGAGTTTATAATATGGATATATGCAATAAACTGTGACCATGCGGTTTGCCTCCATTTAGCGTAAAGTGGTTGGCCTTTTTAGGGCCTTGTTCTTTAATACTTACCTGACCAGGTTTGTAGAGAGGGAACGTGGGACAGTGACACCTCTTGATTTTTATTCTTTAAGAAGGGGAGCCATAGTCTAGGCTTGGGCTCTATATCTTTAGCCAGATACATCCTAAGTACTGGAGTAGCTTTGGTCAGTCTAGTGTGTGGGCCAGATCGTGTATAAGCCTATGGTTTTAGTCAGCGGAATAAGGTTGGATAGAACAATAAGGGAGGAAACATCCATTGTATATGAACACGATATTAAATTAGTTATATCTTTTGCTAATAATTATTTAAGTTGTTACAATATTCATTTGCCTAGCGAATACGAAAATGTTTAAGTAATAGTTGTATTTGTATGGTTGAACTCTAGGTTACTGAGACGTTAGTGCTCACCCTAATTATTTAACATTTTTTTAGGTGACAAATTTTATAGGGATCAAGGGAAGGCTCTAAATGAGTGAACCTTAAAGGCTCTAATGTACTCGTTGAGTACGTTATGCTATATTATATTTAATTGCCATGGCACTAGGGACTGATTCTTAAAAAAAATAGTTTTATTAATTTCTTATTTGAGGCTACTTTTTATATTAGTACTTGTAAGTATAATTTGTATTGAAGTGAGAGTCCTATGACAAAGAATATTGAAATCTTGTATAGTTTGGGATGAAGTCTCTGAGCGTTTGTGTGGTTTTGTCGATTAAAAGATAAGTTTACTGGTTAGTCGAATAAGGTGTTACATGAGGAAATTACTGCCAAGCTCATTTCATGTGAGAAAAATTCACAAAATTTGCAACATGTTATTTATGTTTTTTAAAATTTCCTAAAAAAATTATGACTATTGTTTAAAGTGTGACCTTGAATTAAATTCATCATCATACAATTTCTAATATCAACCATTTTCAAGAGAAGAGAAAGAGAGTTAACAGAACAGTTTCTTTTCTTCTTTTCTGGGTAAGAAGACAATTTATTGAAAACTAAGTAAAATATATACAAATTATTGAACACTTTACATGATAAATTCTGATAAAAATATAGCCCAATGAAAAACCAAAAGAAAACAGAAAACATGGACACTTAAACAAAAAAAGAAAGCTTGGAATGGCACAACAGAAATTATGAGACTACATTATAAAAATCAATCACGAGCAGAGGGTGAATCACATGTAAAGTATCAAGGCCTCTTGCATATAACTTCAAACGACTAAATAGACCTTGAAAATTCTAAAGATGATGAGGATGAGCAAACTACAAGAGCATAACTTTGAAATTGGAAAAATGGTACTACGATCACAACAAGCCAGCGTTGCATTAGGCTTTTATGGGAAAATAGTTCAAGAACCACTATGAGAAAAGAGGGGAGGGGAAAATTACACACAGGTGCCATGAAAGACATTTTATTCAGAAAAAGTCTCTTGAAATCCTGAAATTCTTTCTAAGTCCTTAGGGACTTGCGGGTAATAAATTTTAAATGTGATATTACCTACTTACCCCTATTAATTTGAGTCTGTATTTTCCCCGCCTCAAACCCTCGGCCGTTCTCTTTGCCTATCGGGACCATCTTCGTCTTCGCAGTTGCCCCAAATCACTCTCAGTGTCGTTATTGCCAAATCTCAACCCAATCCTCATGCCCTTTATCTTATGAGTGGATATGGTCTCTTGAGTGAAGCAAGGAACAATAGCATAAAGAGAAGAGCAGCGTTTCAAGAAAGGCATTACTTTTGCTTCCTTCAAAATCTCTCAGACTACGCCTCTTTTTTGGTGATTGATGCTATGTTTTGATGAAAATGAATGAAAATTACAGGTTTTTATTGTTATAACCCCTGTAATGCGATGGTTAATTGTCTTGTTAATGGGTACATCGAAGGTTGTTAATGTAACTGTATGACTTGTTATTAACAAGTGATTGTAACTAGGGCTCCAAAAACTTGGTAGTCCAGATAACCAGTCCAGCCTGATAAAACCTTGTCCAGTTTAGCTAAAAAAAAATCAGCCTGAACAAAAAATCAAACTAGACCAGACCGAGTTGGACATCGAGTCAGACCAGGTTTTGGGCTAACCCTTCAGAGCAGATGGTCTGGTTTGGCCTGGTACTTTTTTTTAATTTATATTTTCATTTACTAGACCCTAACACTTCCTCATTTTCCACTCTTTTCTGCAGTGCCTCCTCCCTCTCCCTCACCTCCTCTATCCTCCAGATGCCTCTTTCATCCTCCATATATGTTATGTTGTAGCGTCTCTCCTTTTCTAACCCATCAAAAGCATCCTTCCTTCTATGTCTTCCATGACTTAAAGTATCCTAGATCTGATTGTTCCATCATTTTAGATATGATATGTTGATGTTTGAGAGTTCATCGGTGGCATCTTCCATATTCATTAAGGTTGAAGATGAAAACCCCCATACCAGATCTATTCCAACCAAAGAATCAAAGATGAAGGCCTTGATTTCTTTCTCTTTCCATTTGTGCTTTAATCTTGCAAGTTGAGACATCCATTTCTTTCTTGTTGTATAAAAGACAAGATCTATCATGCAGATTGCTTGTTGCTGTCAAATACTTTAGTTAATTTATTGCTATGAACTATGTAGATTGTTGGTTGTTGCAGATTTGGTCTCTTGTTCATGTCTTTCACTTCTATCTCTTCTACTTTTTTCACAAAGTGCAGAAGGAATTTTGTTGGGGAATTTTTTTCAAAACTGTCTAGGAAACTTGGTCCAACTCGAGGTGACCAACCCAGTCTTCTGTAATGGTTAGGTCAATTCGGGATGGACCGAGTCTCGGGCTAAAAAATAAAACCCAAGGTGAATTTAGACTGGGTTTCGGGTTAGAGGTTAACCCGGTCCAACCCAGTCTTTGTGCATCCCTAATTGTGATAGATTGATATGAAGGATGTCAACTTCAAGTGTGAAGCATTTGTTCTGTTACTTCCATATAGGGGGAACAATTTATTAGTGGTGTAGAAGATGAAATGTAATATGTTGGAGGTGATGTGAGAACAAGAATGATAAAAGAATGAACATCATATGAAGAATTTAGAACAATGGTAGCATCAATTGTGGGAAAAGAAAGTAATAGAATGATTATAAAATTCATAGTAACCTTTGATGAATGTACATTTGTGGATCTTGTAGATAAAATGTAAATTTGGTGTAGTTTCATTGTACATATATGTGTAAAGTGGTAAATGACATCTAGTTGTAATTTGATATAATAACATATCTCTATTTTGCTGTACTTGTCAATAGGTTGTCATAGACTTGTTATCAGACGCCGTGAAAGTTGTCATTAACAGTCTAAATTAAGTTACTGATATAAAGTGACAATTTCTCCTACTTGTAGTGTTCAATGATTTCTTAATACATGATTTTACTATTCAAGTTGTAATATGATATGATGGAAAGGATGAAAAGAATTGGTTTTGATAAATTGTCAATTAATGCTTGCTGATTACTTGTCATTCACTACTGTCAAGATTATTAATGCCTGCTGATTACTTTTCATTCACTACTGTCAAGGTTGATGCCTACTGATTATTTGTCATTCACTACTGTCAAGGTTGTTAATGCCTGCTGATTATTTGTCATTCACTATTGTTAAGGCTGTTAATGCCTGCTAATTTCTTGTCATTCACTAACGTCAAGGTTATTAATGCCTACTGATTATTTGTCATTCGCTACTGTCAAACTTGGTCCTTTTTTTGTTTCTTTTTTGCAGAGAAATTGTTTCTACCAAGTTCTTGGTAGAGTGAAGCTAGCACTCTTTGACAAAAAGGACAAAATTGATAAAGAAGTCACATGGGCAAAAGTACATGTGCAATTTGACACGTGAGTTGTTGTTGTGCACAACAACTAATTGTGTTTGAGCCTTTGAGAGATAATGTTTATTGACTAAAGTACTAGTATTTTCTTTTCAGGGACTTTTGTGGGGTTCATGTTTTGAGTTGGTTACAAACATGAGATGGCATGGAGTATGGTGTACTCTGCTCAATAAATCTATGACGTGAAGGTTAGATGCTTGTGGTGACTTGTAATTCATCGAAACAACCTGCATGGTGATCAAGTGTTATTTTTGCTATGAGAAAGCGCTCAAAGCAAGAGGAAGAAATAAGTGACCAATATATATTGTATTTAGTTTTGTTTATTTGACAGCATAATGATAGCTACATGTAAAGTTCAGAGTTTGTTTTTTTATTTGACAATATAATGACAGCTGAATGTTAAGTTATGTTAATGTGTATTAACATCGTTTATTGGTTATGAAGTTTTTTTAATGGCATTCATGTGTTTTGATAACCACGAAATTCTTCATTCCAAACTCGGATTATGTCTAGAAATGAAGACTTAATAAAATTGGATAAACAAATGTTAACCATGATGATATGATAGATATCTATTACAGTCCTCTTTGCTAGATCCATTTACAACCTCAACAATGGCTTTTGATAACTCAAGGAGAAGTGATTAACAGCTTAGACAGTACCCCTGACAATTCACTCTGTGAGATACCACAGCTTTTAAAAAAATTGTATTATCAGCACATATAACGACCTTAACAATATAATGGGAAGCATTTTGAAGTCATTAACAGCTTTAAGTGAACCTAATAGAATTACAGCAAATTTTTATTACAGAGATCTATTTATAACCTTAATGGCGGCTGTTAACAACCTGAGGAGATGTGGTTAACAATCTCGGCAGTGCCCCTAACAACTCACTCTGTGGAATACCATAGCTTCTACAAAAATTAAATTATAACCAAATCATATCATGTTACAACTTGAACACTAAAATCATGTGTTAAAAAATCATTGAACACTGCAAGTAGGAGAAATTGTTACTTTATATTAGTAACTTAATTCAAACTGTCAATGACAACCTCCATGACGTTTGATAACAAGTCCATGACAACCTATTGACAAGTACAACAAAATAGAGATATGATATTATATCAGATTACAATCAGATGTCATTTACCACTTTATATATATGTACAATGTAACTACACTAAATTTATATTTTATCTCCAAGGTCCACCAATGTATATTCATCAAAGGTTACTGTGAATTTCATAACCATTCCATTACTTTCTTTTCCCACAATTAATGCTACCATTGTTCTAAATTTTTCATATGATGTGCCTTCCTTTATCATTCTTATTCTTACACCAACTCCAACATATTGTATTTTACCTTCTACACCATTAATAAATTGTCTCCTTATATGGAGGTAACAGAACAAATGCTTCCCACTTGAAGTTGCCATCCTTCATATCAACTTGTCACAATCACTTGTTAATAACAAGTTATACAGTTACATTAACAACCTTCGATGCATCTATTAACAAAACATTTAACCATCGCATTACAGGGGTTATAACAATAAAAACCTGTCATTTTCATCAAAAACACAGTATCAATTATTGAAAAACAGAGCATCAATCACTGAAAAAGGTGTAGTCTGAGAGATTTTGAAGGAAGCAAAAGTAATGCCTTTCTTGAAACGCTGCTGCTCTCTTTATGCTATTGTTCTTTGCTTCACCCTAGAGGCCATATCCACGTATAAGATAAAGGCCATGAGGATTGGATTGAGATTTGGCACTGACAACACTGAGAGTGATTTGGGGCAATTGCAAAGACGAAGATGGTCCCGATAGGTAAAGAGAACGGCTGAGGGTTTGAGGTGGGAAAAATACAGACTCAAATTAATGGGGCTAAGCAGGTAATATCATATTTAAAATTTATTACCTGCAAGTCCCTGGGGACTTAGGAAGAATTTCAGGATTTCAAGAGATTTTTTCTAAATAAAATGTTTTTCACGGCATCTGTGTTTAATTTTTCCCAAAAAAGGAACCACTGCTAGGGGAAAAACATAAGATGCAAATTTGCAATGAAAGTTTTTAATTAGGAAAGTGTTGGGTATTCATAAATTTTTTTTTTGTATACAAATTTGTTTTGAAAGTTTAAAATAGTTATGTTGTCTTTTATCATTAGAAATATTAATGGTTAATGTTATTATTTTAATGGTCAATATTAGTTTTTTAACAGTATAGGACAATACTGCTACAATTTTAAAATTATGGGATAAATTTAAACAAAAAAACTTTCAAATACCCATCCTTGAATGACAACTTTTAAGGTAAATTTATACCTTAATTCTGAGAAAAAAATGACATTGAAGAAAAAAATGAATTTAAAAAATGAATAATATAGAATAAATCTGTTAGCAAAAAATAATCAATTACTTCTTTAGTCCTTAATATAGAACCTAATTGTTAAGTTAATTTTGATCATAAATATAAGATCTATTTATCATATTTATTAGTTTTTTGCTAAATTACCCCTATGGATGTCTCTCAATCATAATTAAGTAGAAGAGGGAGATATGATATTAAGGAAGATGATTGTAGTGTTTTAGGAAAAACATATCATATTTCTTATAATTAACCAACTTACCTAACTTTCTTAATCTAATTAAATTAGTTAAGTAGGTCTTATATTAAAGACCGGAGGAGTATAAAAGTAAAATATTAATAACAGGGAACAAAACAAATTTGGACAGTGCAGAAAAATTTCCCGAGAAGCATGGTAACCAGGCCAATCTTGGGGGTGTTTGACAACCCTCAAAAGTGCCTCTAAAAAGTACTTTTTTGCAAAACAAAACAAACTCCTCTACATATTTACTTCGTAAACCGTAAAAGCACACTTGACACCATGATTTGGTTTAGAGCTGGTAATGGACCCAGCCCGCCAGCCCGCAAAAAAGGCGGGCTCGGGTTGGCAATATGCCAGCTCGCCAAGGTGCGGGCTATTCCAGCCCATACCGTTTTGAGCCCGCTCCGCCGCGGTTGGCGGGCTGGCCCGCTTTTTTTTTTTTTTTTAAATTTTTTTTCATATAATTCCTAATATAGTTAAAATATTTTGACCCTCAAATTTCATATGAACAATTAAATATTGCTTCTTTCATATTATTGCATAAGTAATTAAACACTTTATATATTTGTGATTCTGTGTGTAGTTATACGAAGATCATCGTCCATTTTTTATTTTTCATTTATTTGTTGTGTCACTATAAAAGCCTTTATAAAATTAAATAAACATGTGATACTTATACATTTATACATAAAATACCTACTTAATTAATTTGGATAAGAAAACTAAATTACTTTGAATAAAAAAACTAGTTAAATTAATTATTTATAAAAAATATATTAGTTTTTAAAAATATATTCTTAAATTATAAATTAATCTTCATTTTATTTTATCATAACTTACTACTCAAATTCAAGATTCAAAGCCTAATTTTAACATTTCAAATTAAGCTTAACTTATATTATTAATAATAGTTTTTATTTAAAAAAAAGAATATATCGGCGGGCTCGAGTTGGCAAAATGCCTTGGCGCCATTTCAGCTTGCACCACCACGGGTTGGCTCGTATCCGTACCGTCAGCCTGCATTACCACCTCTAATTTGGTTTTCATCCAAACGTTCCTCTGATTTAAAATTACTCCTACTATTTTAAAGAATA